TGCAAATTTTTTTTTTGTGCTAAAATATAAATTTTACGAAAAAAAAATTTTGCATGCAAAATTTGACTTTCTGTGTTTATAACTTAGTTCAGGATGAGTTTTTCACCCAAAAAATCCAAAAATCACAAGAAAGTGTTTTTTTTTGTGAATACGATTTTTATCTTTTGTTTCATTTAATAAGATAGAAATAAATTTGTAAAAAACAGGCTTTTGTTTCTCAACCGCCAAAATTTTCAAACTAAAAACTATCTAGCCATATTCAAAAAGTTACTGGGATTTCTTATGACAAAAAATCCTTGGTTAGTGTTTCGGTTAAAACACAAAATTTCGAAACAAATTTTTTTCTATTTTCATTTATGGAAAAAATGCTGGTCAGACAATTTCATATTATGGAAAAAATGCTGATTTGCTATTTTCGCACACTTACTTTTGCTCTATGAAATTGTATGGAAGAGTATGATGACCATTTTTTTCATATATGAACATTGTATGATAAGCATTTTTTGTCAACCCGGGTATGCGCCTTTGTGCCGTAAATAATTTCATCAAACCGCATATACGCGCATGCACAATTAACACTTTCAATGACCGTTTTCAAACCCAAATCAAAGAACTAAATTGCGGGAAACGAAAACTCACAAATTTGCAGGGCTATCTCAGATGAGTTTTGGCAAGAGCCTGAAGGAAAAAATAAAAAGTTGGAGAAGATTAAGAAGCAGGCTTGGAAGGCTAAAAAGAGGTGCTTTGTGATGAACTATTATGGCATGATACCAGTGAACTGCATGGGAGGAGACAACAGCACGGTTGCATCAGATGAAGCGTTCGAGGAATATCGGGCAGTGTGTGAAGACGAACGACAAATGTAAACTGGCAACTCCTAATCTACTAACTAGCAAAACTTGGAAATCGCGGAATTCATTTTAAAAACAGAATGACTTTTTTGAGCGAACTCAGGCAACCTTGAGACCTTTTGTCTGAAAAAAAGAAAGATTTTTTTGCATAATGTTTTTCTAATAGGACGTTTGCTTTTTTGTTACCTTTATGTGCTCTAACATTTTTTGAAACTCTCTAAATTTTGAAAAAAAAGCTGAAAAAAAGCTTTAAAGCTGGAAAAAATAGATAGGAACAGAAAAATTTAAGAAGAGCTGATACCACTATTCGATTTTTTGGCATGCTAAAACAAGATTTTCAGACAGAACTTAGGTGTCAATTCGCCTGGATTTTTTTTAAGTTGCAAGCAACCCTAGTCAAAACTGGTAGATTATATTCTTAAACAATTCCGTCTATCCGCACTTTTCGTGACTTGTTATAACCCGTTTTCAGGGACGATATGGTAGAAATAGGGTTGCAAGGTGATTGGAATTATGGAAAATATGGAAGTTTGATAGAAAAAAAGAAAAAGGTAATAACCAGTTTTTTACAGCACTTACAATCGTTGACTCATTATAGTCAGAGGATTGAAAATAAGATCTTCTGGTCCATTGTCAGACTTTTTTTAATACAAATTGAATTTAGGACGGAAACAAATTGTACATCTATTACAGTTCATCGGAGAACTTTTCTTGTCTTCATGTTGCTCAAACCTATAGTTCTCGATTTAAATCCGCAATGAGCCAAAATAAAGAAAAGTTTCGGTTGCAGAAGATTTCCATCACAGTTATTTTTGAAAATTAATTAAGCTTTAAAATTTACTTTCTAGTAGCTTAAGCGACATAAAGAACTTTTTACTGTTTCAAGTTGCTTGAAATACAGGGCTGATTTAAACTATACGGACAAAACGCATAAAACTAGAAATTTGAAACGCATTTTTCCCTAATTGGGTTGACTTTAGGTTAAAGGTGATCAGGTTGAACGTGACTCGGGCCGAAAAGTATACCCCAAAAATGGATTATTTTTGGTTTCTTAGTCATTCAAAAATTACGCCAGAACTACCGAGACTACATCAAACACATTTTTTAAATTTCAAAACAATTTTTTGAATTAAACATTTTCCTAAACTTTTGGAGAGTAAATCCTTTCAAAGTTAGTTGGGCCACGTAAGAAGCTATTTTGATATAACTATGTTAGTGATTGACTCGGTAGTTCTGGTGTGATTTATGATTAACTAAAAAATGATCCTTTTTAAAGTTTAACTTTGTGCCCGAATTTCGCAAAACCTATTGCATCATATTTATTCTGCTAATTGATTCGGCTTTGTCTTTATCCCTTTCATTCTAAATTCAATTCCATTAGAGAAAAACGCGTTTTATATTTCAAGTAAATGCTTTTTGTCCGGATAGTTTAAATCAGCACTGTAGCTTGCTATTTTGAAATCTTAACCGAATACATGCTTTTTTTAAAAAAAATAAGAGTTCATTTTTTGCAAAAGCAAACGCTTGTGTTCTTATACGATATCACTTTTACTATCGAAGTCGCACATTTTAGTCATTTTTTGATTTATCAGCCTCTATTGGTGAGTGAATTGTAGCAATTTTTTTTTCGTTTTATCAAAGCACATTCGCTGCGCTGCTACCATGTTTTTACCAGTAAATGATGCGTTTTAAGAGTGGCTAAGACCTTAAAACAGAAAAGTGGATGGGTTTGGCAAAAGACTGATACTCTCAGAGGTTTTTGGTTGGTTTGGACTCCCGTAGTCGGCTAAAATTGGCTTAAGCGTTTTTGTTTGTAATTTTTTGCATTTCTATAGCTTCAGTATTTGCGGTTTTAAATGTGAAATCGTCTCTGTGTCCAACAACTGTTCTGATAAAAGTATAATAAAGTTTGTTAATGACTATAAGAGCATAATCAAAGTGTTGTAGCAGTTATTATTTGGTATATGTCTGGGTAATACTGGAAATAGAAAAGTTTATTTGAAATGAAGGTTTTTTTTGTTTATTTATTCATGATTGAAATCTCAGTGAACTGGTTTTATATCTTGATTTTTTTTTACAAAAACGGAGGTCAGTGTTTTTTTACGGTAGTCTTTTTATGGTATTGATTTTTTTCAATCTCAGTAGCAAATAAAAGTGCTCTTAAAAGTGATACTTTTACTTTTTGAACCTGGTTTAGTTTTGCTGCATAGCATAATGTTCCTGCATTTGGTTTGCTGCTGGCTAGTTCTTGTTTGACAAAACACTATCACGAAAAAATCTGGAATTTGGTTTTTAATCATTTTTTGAGACGCTTTGAAAAACTTTTGCTCTTTTGGCAAAAACTTTAAATTTTCTTGAGAACTATTTTCTCGATTTGCAAAACAGCGGTATCATTGTAAATACGGTACTCGCTTGCCTGTATGCATTTCCCACAAGTCTCTACTACATTACTTGGCGTTCTACAGCGTATCACTGGATGAACAGTTTCAGTGGAGAGAAAAATTTTGTAACAAATATTAATGGTCAAAGAAATTGTCCAATTTGTAAATTTTGAACACTTTTGGCAAACGTTGATTTTTCTGAAAAACTTCCCTGCTCCATCTGACGGCAAGAGTTTCACCAAAATTAAAATTTTTGTGAGTTTTTACTGCACAAGCACAAGTGGTGTCGCCCTGTTTTTTAGATGAAAAGAAGTTATTGCCTTAGAAAATGTAATTTTCAAATTTTGCCCGTTTTTGGAAGTTTTTTTTAATTTTTATTGAAAAATTTTCCGCCATATGAAAGATTAAGGCTTCACTCGAAAGAACATGCGCCAGAAAATTTGGCGTAATAGCGGCAATTGTTCATTGAAAGTTGATAAAAATTCTTCATTTTTCGAATTTTTTGATTATTTCCAAAACTACTCAGATACCAATCTCAGATTAAAATTTAAAATTGGAAATTAAAAGCAGTTGGAATTAGGCAGTTGAATTTAAAGCAGAACTGGCCACGCCCTTATCTCTTGAATGAACTCAGAGTTTTGGACTTAGACAAAGTCTATTGTTTAAAGTGTTGACTTTTTTCACAGGCTTTAGCCAAAAAAACCAGATCTGCATTAAAAGGTTCAATTAAAAAAATAGGCGATAAGAATTTTCTCAGCATAAAAAATAAGCCCTAAATTTGCAGAAAAACAGTGTTCGAATTTAAAAATTCGTGTTTTGATTTTTTGACCGTTGTTTGGAAAACTTATGAACTATCTCACAAACTACCCTGCCAAACGTAGTTATTGTGAAGCGGCAATGGTGTATTTGCTAGGACTTATGATGTTGGATCTCGAGGATGTATGATGTTGGATCTCGAGGTCGGGGTTTGTTACGGCACATATCAGAGTTTTAGTTTTTTACATTTCCTTTTTTTACTTTGACTTTTTCCCTTTTCACGCTTGCGTATGCGAAGCACAGCTTTGCCTTTGTATAATTTATCGGTGCCTCAGTGAGAGAGTTTTTAATTTGCATTGATTTTGTCGAACTTCAGGTCAAACCAATCGGTTAGTTTTTTTGAAACGTTTGATTTTTTGTGTTTGGGAGTGTTTTAGTTTTTTTTGTTCTCCACGCAAAAAGAGGTACACCAAATAACAATCGAAATGGTTCAAGTACTAAAAAATTTGAAAGCAGGTGTTATAAATAAAATAATGAAAACTTTTCCTTTAGCGTTTCATTGGTTCTAAAGATTTTCAAAAATCTAAATTTAATTCTGCAAAAAAAAATTCAGAAAAATTTTTACAATTTTTTTTCGTTTTTGGTTGTTATTCGCTTTTTGAATACATCTAATGTCTATTATGCCTAAATTACTAACGTTTTACGAGTTTTTGTAGTTATCTCAACATACCACGCACAATCAAAACATTTTGGTCTGAACATTCTATGCTAGTCGCACAGAAAACCGGCTATCCTTGATGATTATTCGAATTTTTTTGACAAGTTTTTTTAGATTTTGCACGAGAAAAACATCCTGATATTAAGATAATAACCACTTTGTCGTAAAAAAAAACAAATTTTCAAGTGGAGAAAACCCGACAAAACCGGAAATTTATCTCCGATACGTATCTGGTACTATTAATTGAAACTAAAACCTCTGAAACTGCGCTCAAATTTGGCCAAGAACGCTAACCTGGAACTACATCCCCAAAATTGTTTTCCCCTCGGGTCCTTCTACTTGTCACGTGACTGTAAGGCGACTCCACCCTCGGCGCACGTGACCTGAATGGCGTGAACTGATTCTGGTTTTGAGTTTCGCTGCCTGTTATGTTATTCTGTCTTCGATTTCTATCGCTGCTAACATGTTGCTCGTTTTCGCTTCTGTGTGTAATCGGGTTTGATCTCTGAGAAAAAACAGTTATTGGCTCTTTTCCAGCTTCCGACCCCCCTCGTAAACTTCAAAACAAAGCTGTTCAAAAATTGTTCACACAGCATTTTGCATGTAAGAAATGTTGTGAAAATTTGTTCACCTGTTCACACTGACAAGTTTTAATGCAGTTTATAACATGAAAAGTCAATTTAAATAGATTTTCATATATTAAATTTCAGAAAAAAATCAAAGGGGGCTGGAAAAGAGCCCAGTTATTTATTAATTCAAACAAGGTCAAATTGTTTGGTTTAAAATGAAACAACACACTTCATTTCACAATATAAATCAGGTTTTTGATCAAAACGTAAGTTTTGATTAACATCACTTGATTAACAACTAAATCAGCATCACTTGATCTAATGACTTACTTGACTTGTCTGGGGATTAGCCCTGGTACTTTTGTAGACGTTTATGAATCCTTCCAATCCTTTTCCTGGCATTAGTGGCTCGTCTAAATTTATCGAAACTGGGTCCGTTTTTCTGAGCCTGGTGGCGTCTCTGAAGTTTTCTTGGATGAAATTGCGTCCTTTGTGTTCTCTGGTCACTGTTGGCAGAATTCCGGCAGCCGGTTGGTATTTATAGCCCCCAGTTATGAAGTTGAGCCTAATTTCATCAGAAATAACTTAACATATGGCGTTGTGGGGCATTGGTAGTGATGGTGCCCAGCAATTATATGATTACGGGTTCAAATCACACGTTCGCTGCAATTCACAAGGTGAAAGCTTGTAAAGATAGCCATAACTTAGTTAATCTTTAACCTTTAACCTCTGGGTTAGGCCTCTGACTGGTTAACTAAAAAAACATATGATAGCTTGAACTTTCGTGGTTTTAGAAACAACCCGGGTTGACAAAAAATGCTTATCATACAATTTTCATATATGAAAAAAATGCTTATCATACTCTTTCATACAATTTCATAGAGTAAAATAGTATGCATGGAAATAGCAAAATAAGCATTTTTTTATATATGAAATTGTATGACAAGCGTTTTTTCCATACTATGATATTGTATGACAAGCATTTTTTCCATAAATGAAAATTCGAAAATTTTTTGTTTCAAAATTTCGTGTTTCAACCGAAACACTAACCAAAAATTTTTTTGTCATGAGAAAACCCAGAGTGTAACTGGCAGTAACCACGCAGATAAACTGCATTTGGTGGTTTCAGCCATAAAAGTTATTTTAACATTTTCACATGAAAATATATACCAAAAAAGTAACTTTTTGAATAAGACTAGATAATTTTTAGCTTGAAAATTTTGATGGTTGACATAAAAGGCCCTTTTTTTCTTACAAATTTATTTTTATCTTAGCAAATGAAACAAAAGATAATAATTGTGTTTACAAAAAAAACATTTTCATGTAATTTTTGGGTTTTTTGGGTGAGAAACTCATCCTGGACTACGTTATAAACACAAAAATGTCAAATTTTGCATGCACATTTTTTTCCGTAAAATTTATTTTTTTAGCACAAATGCAAAATGAGAGATTTTATGAAAAAAAAAACAAAAATTTGATCCAATAATAAGAAGTTGCTGAATTTTATTTGACTTGCTACGACAGTTTTGTGTTACGGCCTCTGTCGTGGATTGGGAAGTAACAATGGCAAAGGTAGGATGGTATTTTCCAGCCTACTTTAGGTACCTCAAATCAGTTTCAGTCGTAATTCATTTTTGTAGAAATTATTTCAAATTTGTTTCAGTTTTTAGTGAAATCGGTCGAAGTTTTTAGGTTTGTAGACTCAATTAGGATCTGGTTTCTGACTAAGATCCCAATCTTATGTCATGATTCAAAGTTATTTCAGCTATTTTTACCTGACTCCTGAAATTTGAAGACAACCCCTCCCAAGACCCGAAATAAAGCAACAAAAAGTTTTGACAACAATTTTTTTAAGTTGAAAAAAATCCAAAAGCTTTTATTGCCAGGCCAAACTGTGTTTTTTGTAAATTGTAAGCAGATTCCGCAACAAGGACGCTCTCTTTGATCTTCTTTTTTTCTTTCGTTTTCTTCAAACGTTCGGACAAAACTTTAATATGTTTTAAAACTTGTCTATGGATTCCAGAGACCCACAAACTCAAAATTGTACCCAGTTCGGCCTCACACAGCTTGCTTTGTTTCTTTTTCTTGAAATTTTTATTGCAAAAATTGTAGTTGTAACACTTGTTGCTGATTACTGGGTACAGGACACTTAGCCTGGTGGTTAGTACGTGGGCCTGACGTGCCATAGGTCCGGGGTTCGTATCACTGAGACATCCCTCGGATTATTCCTTGAATTTCTTCCGCGAACAAAAAGAAATATTCGTTATTTTCTTTTGTTTTATATTCGGTTACCACATCTTCTGGTTTAATTGATATTCTTCAATCGGTTTGAACATTTAATTGAGTACCTGCTTAAATTAGCCTTGTACTCGGTGGATTAACATCTGATTGATACCTTTCTCACTTACTTCAAAACTGCCTGTCCTTACGAGAGCGCCAACTTGTTGTGGCATTTGTTCGGAGCGGGATTGAACCTGTTCTTACTGAGTGCTTTGTTTGCTCGCTGAAAGCTGTATATCTGTCTTGCGTGGGTGTATCAATGGAAACCTCGTCTATTTATTGTACGATCACATGGGTATGTCTCGAATGCCACGAAACTGGCAAACCTGAGAGAAAGACAGACGAAATGGCGAATCGATTGTTTTCAATCGAAACCAAACTCGAATCTATGGACACACTGACGAAACTTGTGAACAATCTCAGCGATAATTTCAACGATAACACGTCTACACAAGTACAACAGAAACCGATCAACTTGACGTATGCATCACTGCTTGCTGGAAACGCTGGATCTGGACAGCCGCCGAACAAGGAGCCATTCGCAGGAAAATTTTTCAGGTCGCGACATGGCAGCACAACTTCTATGAACAGCTCTGCATCTCAGGCAGCGAAGAGACTGAGAGATGATGACTACTGCAAACAAGGAATAGTCAACAGAGAATCTGGTCTCATGAATAGAACGAAGAAAAATGATGGTTCGAGTACTCTGTTCGGTGTACCGAAGCCAGCACCACCACCACCTAGAAGGCATATCTTTGCTACACGCTTTGCTCTCTCAGCTTCTCCTGAGGACTTGATCGAATATTGCTCAAACCACGGGGCAAAGCCGGTTGCACTTCGCGTGGTGTCCAAACCAGAATCAAAGTTGAAATCCTTCCACTGTCTTTTTGAAAACACGATGAAGGACATAATTTAAAGTGCTGATTTTTGGCCAGAAAATGTTCTCATAAAAACCATTCGATTGAATGATGAAGCTAGAGAATGGTTGAAAAAACAACAGCGTGTGGATCGAGCCGGTACAGCGTGACTAAACAATGCAATGAATATCAGCCTGTTTAACGCAAAATCAATAAAGAACAAAATAGATCGTGTTCATGCTTATCTATTGCCGCGTTGCCCAGATGCGTTTGCATTTACTGAAATCTGGTTGGCTCACGACGATGATTATTTAGTTGGACCTCAGTGCTGCCCAGAATATTATAAATTCATCAGCTGTTCCTGCGAGGAAAAACGAGGGGGCGGTGTCGGAATATTTCACAAACAGTCACTTGATGTCAAGCTTCTAAAGAGCATGACAAATGATAATTGGGAGTACTTGGTCATGTTTTTTCAAACGACCTCGCTACTTTTAATACTTGTGTATCGTCCTCCTGCGACAAATTTTAGTGTCTTCATTGAAGAATTCGCGGAAGTACGAGTGGAAAATGCTTCAAATTTTACAAACATTTTATGCTTAGGAGACTTCAATGTCCACGCCGAACTTGAAACGGATTCCAGAGCATCACGACTTTTCTCTGTTATTTCTGAAGCCGGCCTTGAACAGCACATACTTGAACCAACTCATGTATCCGGTCATACATTGGATTTGATTATTTCAACTTATACACCTGCGAATAATTTTGTTAATGATGAAATTGCAGGCGACCACAATTGCATTTATTTTAATTACCCCACGGTTACCCAAACTTCAGTCTCAAAGAAAACAGTTGTTTATAGGCGGTGGAAGAACATTACATTGGAAAGTTTGAGCAATACATTCAAACTTCTGATCAACCAAAAATGGCGTATGCCGGGAATTGCTGCGATTCATTTGCAACCTTGCTTACTCATTTAGATGAAGTTGCCGACTCCTTGGGTCCCGAGAAAAAGGGCTTCTTTTCACAGCCCTTACTTCGATGATGAACTGAGAACCGCGAAAATGGAAATAAGAAGAGCTGAGTGACAATATCGCATGTGTTTTTCCGAAACTAGCCTTGCCGAGTTTCGCGCCAAGTCGATGGAAATGAACACTATGTTACTTGATAAACAAAAACTCTTTTATAAAAGTATGATGCAGAACTCAGACATCAAGTAAAAATATCAAGAACTTGACATCCTATGTGGCAAAAAAGCTTCTTTGCTACCCACCGGTTTCAATGAAAAGTCTCTGGCGAATACTTTCAACCAGTTTTTTGTGTCGAAAGTAGATAATCTTGTTGAAGGCATTCCTGTCACTTCAGTTCTTTTCAACTATCCAGTCCAAGAGCTTCAGTTTGATGTTTTGCCAAGCGTCTCTGGCTTGGAATTATCAAAAGCTGCTTTCGACGATGTCACATACACGTCGTCTCCACTTCAGGCGGTACCAACGAAGCTTCTGAAGTCAATGAAATCCATTCTCTTGCCGATACTGCTTTACGTATTCAACCTTTCTTTTACCTCTGGTACTTATCCGAAATGTTTGAAAGTTGGTACAGTCATCCCACTACTTAAGAAAACCAATGCTGACCCGGAAGTTTTCAAGAATTATAGACCCGTCACCAACATTCATTTTTTTGCGAAAGTTTTGAAGAAGCTTGTGTCTAAGTGTTTCACAATTTTTTTTAGGAAAGTAACAATGCTTTCGATCCTTTTCAGTCAGCTTACAGAGTCTTTCATTCAACAGAGACCGAGTTGTTGCGCATTACGAATGATGTCTTTTGTTCACATGTCAAGAAGAAGCCTGTGGTTCTTATCGCTCTCGACTTGAGTACTGCCTTTGATACAGTGGATCATTCTTAACTAAGTGACATACTCGAGAATAGGCTCGGAGTAAAAAAGAAAGCATTATCGTGGATGATGTTGTACCTAGGTGACCGCACGCAACGTGTTTTTATCAATGGCGTGTTTTTTAATTATATCAATCTGAAAGTAGGCGTTCCACAGGGTTCTGTACTCGGGCTGTTATTGTTCTCTATTTATTTCATTCCGTTGCGTGATAATCTGAATGAAATTGATGTTGACTATCACATTTACGCAGATGACAGTACACTTTATTTTACTATTGACAATGTTGAAGCGGGGATTATGAAAGCGCAGCAAGTGGTATACAGAGTTCAAGAGTGGTTTTCTTGTATGAATCTCAAAATGAATGAAGACAAAACCGAGTTCATGTTTGTCCGTTCAAGAATAAGTAGATTCACAATTCCTGGTCAAGTTGTTTTAGCGAACGAGTACCTCGACGTGGCGACTCACTTCCGTAGTCTTGGGTTTGTTCTCGACCAGTTTTTTACTTTTGAAAAACAAATTAACTTGGTCTGTGCATCATGTCATTATCAACTTAGACAGATTTCATCAATTTCACGGCATTTAGGCTTCAATTTCACTCGCAGCATTGTTATCTTTCTAGTTTTGTCTCGTTTAGGATACTGCAATTCTCTGTATTTTGGGCTACCTTCATTTCTTCTTAATAAGTTACAACGAGTTCACAATCGGTGCGCTAGGCTTCTGTTCAAACTTAATAGAAGAGTTGATGTTACGCCTTATTTGCACGATTTGCACTGGCTCCCAGTTGGAGCGCGTATAAAATTCACAGTGCTTATGTTCATGTATTGTATGTTTAAGGCGGACAGAGTTCCCAACTATTTGTCAGATCTATTTCACAGAGATTATTCTCATTCCTCTAGAAGAAGTGGTTTTCTCAATTTTGTACAGCCTTTTATCAGAAATACTTTCGGCGGTCGGATGTTTTCTTGCCATCGTGCTGTTTTATGAACAAGTTACCCACCAGTGTTAAGCGAGCAGACAGTTTGATCGATTTTAAGAAACTTTTGAAAACTCACTTGCTCACCGACTATTTTTATACTTAGCCACCGTCCACTTTTGAGCTTTGTAAAAAGTGGTTAAGAATTTTAATAATCATAATAATGATAATTGTGTTCTATACGTAAGGTTAACAGATCATTTTCAGGTCGAGGTCCTACCCCAAATTTCGACTTTAGCGAGAAAAACTTGCATGAAATTGTACAAATTCTTTTCTGCTCAGAATAGTGCTTGGCTCTAAAAAGGATGTGTTGAGCGAAAATTGGTGATTTTTGCGTTTTGGTGCTCGTCTTATGAATAATTCTCTGTGCTCCAAAATTTTCGCTTCAAAACATGGAAAATTTCTGCTCAAATATTTGTAACTCATCTATCAATTAGTACGGCGGATTTTATCAGTGGACACAATAGAAATATATCTTTTAATAAATCAATACTAATAGAGTCTACAAGGGGCAGATTTAGGAGGGGGCGGACGCCTTCCCTCAGGGATTCGACCCCCTGCCGACCCAAAGGGTCCCCCCTTGGGTACTTTCTAAGAAATCCTTTTTTGGCCAACCGACACTGAAATTTTTGCTAAAGGTGCCTTTGGCGCAATATATACTAACTTTGAGGGGGAGCACGCGCCAAAAAAAAAAACGAGATTTTTCTGTCAACTTTTTTCAACAAAAAGTGCCCAAAAACAACTTTTTTGACCTGTTTTTCAAAAGTTTGCCTGCGGCGCAGAACATTTAGCAAAACAGCGTCTTTTTGGTCCTTTAGGAGATCGGAAAATCAATTTGGTCGACCTTAAAAAAAAGGTCGTAAAAATTTTTGAAAATCGCCCCCCCCCCCCCCTCGAGAAAATCCTAAATCCGCCCCTGAGAGCCTATAAAAAATATAATGAAATAGACTATAGTTGTTGGAAAACGAGGGATACCAGGTCGGATTGGAATGGCAGAAAAAAAAGCCTTGGCTCTGTAGAAAGAGTCGAAAAACGCGTCGTGGAAACTTGTGATTGGTTAAAACTTTTGCACATTTTTGGAACCTTTTTTTGCAGGTCTATGTTTGCACAGAGGAGTCAAAAGTATTGAATTTTATAGATACGATTGCCGCTTTTACATTCCGACTTCTGACCAAAAGTGGTCATGAAAAAAATTCAGATGTGCATTAATATTCAAAACTTTCAGGTTTTTGAATAGATCTCTTTTCGCATCACACCTCGACCCGGATTACGTTTACACTTCGACCCGGGTTTCAATATCGTTTTGCCGTCATAACATATCATTTAGTAGTGATCGATTTTCCTTTTGTCTTACCGATTGTTGTCGTAAGAAGTGAGGTTGCTTGTGAATCGACTAGCTCTGTGGGATCCCGTTTGAGCCTTGGCGTAGGCTGTGATATCATTCAGATCCGAGTGTCCGAACGCTCTTTTGTTGTCGAATGAGGCTTGGTAGGATGATCGCATATCCGATAAGCTGTTGTCAAAAATAGTACTGCCCCAGCGCGCCATTTTCACAAATACAATTTTTCAAAACCAAAAGTTGCTTATTGCTTATTTAAACTACAGTTGCTTAAGTTCCAAATATAAAAAAGGGCTTTATAACCGATTAAATATCAAACTCAAAAGAATGGTATAGTTAATAATCAATATAAAGCGTAGAAATTCGAAAGTGATAACTAATTCCAATTTTGATTCCACTATCGATTAATTCTAATTTTTATAATTTACCACGCAGCAGTCATTCTCCAAAAGTAAAAAAAGTTTAAAGGTTTCTTTTTTTATTCTAAAATGTGATCAAAATAATAAATTATTTAAAGCTCTGTCCTTCGATCATTTAAACGAAACCATTAGGGGAAGTTCCGGTCATAAAGTTGACCAATTTTTAATTTGAAGCGACGAAGAAAGCAAATACATGTATTGTTGTAATTTGAAGTCATGCAACTGCTGTGAAAACTCGTGCTTCGAAAAAACTAATCAGCTGAGTACTCAAAATGGCTACAATGCCACGAGACAAATTCCACGCACTCAATTCAAAAATGAAGATAAATTACTCTACAACTAAAACGTGCTGAAATTGCTTTGAAGCAGTGCTTTGCGTGTAATTTTTGCTTCGCTTTTGACCAAATTGCTTCTCAGGTATAAATTTTTCATCAGCATTCGAAAATCAACCGTCAGCTACGATAACAAAAACGTCCGTGGTTTGGTTGCTTCGCTTCCAATTTTAATTCCCTCACTATTTTTTTTTCATCCGCATTTCATCTTGAAACGAAATAAACCAAACTCAGAAAAAAACACTAATATTCGTATTCGATCTCTTTCTTCGAAAATGGAAAGGAAAAACATTAATTATCGTTCATTCTGATCAACGAATGCGCCACGAATGATAATTATTTCCGCTGAACTCAAAAAAAAACATTTGTTCAAAAATTAATGCTAAAATTAAACAAGACTGCTCGTATCAGGGCGAAACCCTGAATGTTCCGACTGCCTTTTAAGGTTTATGGAGCAGTAATAACATTATAAAATTAAATGAAAAAAAAAACAAAATGAAAAGGATAACAATACCTTTCGAACAATACCTCAAGACATCAATGCCTTTCGAATGATATAAAAAAAATTCCGTCAAAAATGGCTAGTGAAAAAGTCAAAAATTTGTCTGAAGAAAAAACCCACCCCGAGCACAAATATTCCGTTACTTTCGTATCGAAAGTCGGAACATTTACGGATTTCAAACTTTCTAGGGATTATTTTTATGAACTTGATTCATTATTAGGAAATCTTTCATCTCATAACAGATGTGGTCTTGCTGGCGAAAAGTCCTTCTGTTGTCTTGTGAATCTCAGATTTTTAAGGGAGTGCTGAGAAAGGCCTCAGATCAAAACCCTTTCCATTCACAAAATTTTGTTGAAAATAACTCTTGAATTTAAAAAAAATGAAGCTACCGCCCCGGGGAGAGGTCCGCGACTCATGTTGCGACTGAAATGAGTAGCCGAAATGGACTTTCTGCGACCGAAGTTCCATCATCCCGCAAGAGGCTTGAGTCGCACAAAGTCGCAACATAGCTAATTTTGGTCGCGCAAAGTCGCAGCTTAGTTGATTTGAGTCGCACAAAGTCGCAACATTGCTAATTTGGGTCCTGCAAAGTCGCAACATAGATAATTTGGGTCGAACAAAGTCGCAACATAGCTAATTTGGGTCGCGCAAACCGCAATGTAGCTAATTCGGGTCGCGTATAGGAAGCTAAGCAACGGAATTGGTGTCAATTTTTTTTGCTTCTATATGCGTTATACAGATGCAGATTGTTAAATAATCCAGTGTAAATGTGTTTATAAGGTGCAGTTAGCTAATATACGCTAAATTTTTTGGGGCAACAAGTAAGTCATTACTACAAAAACTGAAAGCTAGAAACCATTCGAATGAAACAAAAATCAGAAATGTTGAATTATTATTTTAAAAAAGGCGTCAACTAAACAAAACAAACCCGCCTGAAGTTTTTTTGATCTGTGATTTTTGTCAAACATGCACAAATTTTCATTTAGTTGTAATTTTTTGATTGGAAAAACAAATGCTCTCAAAAATGCACGAATATAACGGAACCAAGATGCTGCTTTTGGCGCAATTCAGAAATTTATCAAAAACTGTTTTTTTGATCCGATTATCAATGAAAATAACGAACAAAAACGGAATATAAATGCTCAAGTTCAGTTTTTCTTCAACCATATTTCAGCAATAGAAAAAAAAATTTCTACAGAAATTTTATATACTCTAATAATGATATTAACGGTATGAGTTGAGAGCTATCTTTTTTGAGACAATTTTGTGGTTCAGGGGGTTTGAAAACAACTGATTGCTGGCAATTTTTGTGCGCATTTTTTCAAGCCATTTTCCGGCTTTCGAAGAAATTGACGGAACATTTGTCCTCGGCTTGGTTTATTCGCCAATTAAAAATTGATTTTTAAACTAGCAATTTTGACGGAGTTTCATAAACATTTTGACGTCATGCGCTCTATTTTAAAAGATATGTACAAAATACGATAAGGTTTGATCTTATTTGAGCTATAACTTGTTATAACTATCTAAAGGAAACTATGCTGCAATCTAGTGATTCTTCAAAAAACAATCAAGTTTTTCGAGAAAAAAGTAAATTACGAAAGATTTAAATAAATCACTGCATCGTATAATAATATTGCGACATTAACTAACATTTTCAGAAAAATTTTCACAAAACTCCTCAGAAAATTCGAAAACTCATTCAAGTTTTTCTGATTGCCTTAAGAAAGCAGAAGTGCTGAATAATTGCGTAAAAACAAATCAAGTTATTACATGTTGGTAGTGTTCGAGGAGCTATTCGCCAGTAAGTGTCTGCTAGAAATGACTAATTTGTTCTTTTTCTACCCAAAAAATCAGCAAAAAAAGTGAGTAATCAATCCAGTGTTCTTCATTATCATTGCTTGAAGCTGATTTGATAATAGCAAAAAATTCGAGGAATCTTTTCAGAGGAAACCGATCCAGTATCCATGAGCTCGGGAGTTCTGTTATAATTTCCCTTAGAGAAAAATGATCCATCTCTACATTTCTCTAAAGAAAGAAACTGATTATTTCATAGGACAGTTGAGGACAAAAAAATCATAGTTGACTTACATGCCTCTAAATTCTGAATCGTCAATTTCTCATACACATGTCTTAGTTGAGTGACAAATTTGTTGAGCATTTCTTTGCAGTCTAGCTTGTAGGTGTTTCCCGGTTTTTTTACTATTAAGCAATCATTGCCTTTTTTCTGGAGATTTATAATTGTTTTAGATGTTCTTGCTATTATAGTTTTGGTGTAATTGTAATTAGCAGGTTGCGTTTTTGTTTTCTTTGCAAGTTTCGAAGAACATGTTTAGCTACTAAATTTCTTTTAGTAAGCAGAGAATAATGAATTGTAAGACAAACATTTGAACTATTAGACAACATGTTAAGATTAGGTCTGGCTAGAGACTAAAAAAACAATAGCAAACAAATTCAAACAAATTAGTGTGAAAATTTTTTAGTGTTTCTAAGGAAATGGCTCTATGCGTGAACGGATGCGTCTCACAATTGTCTGGGAAATCTTCAAAATCATAAACATGTCAAGCAAGAATTCCTTTATTAATCGCTGATGAGGAGTTGATTTAGTTCTTCCTTTGTGCTTTATGAGGTCAAACATTCTTCCCCTGATTAATTGAAGCTTTAAGCTAGTGTGATTAATGCGCATATCCAAATAAAGACCACGGTCCGTCTTAAGTTCAACCTCAACACTGCTTTGAATTAGGCAAGTGCTGGTAAATGCTTCTTGCGAGTAAAATGCAATAATTATCCCCAAAGTTGGGTTTATCAAAAATCTCCAGAGAAAAAGCCCTGCCAAAATTGACAATTTACTTTAAAGCCAAATTAATTTGATGAAAATGTCTCTGCAAAAGCGACAATATTTTCTTCTACCGTTTTAAGAAATGAAACTGTTTCTGATATTTTTACACTTGGACATTTTTCATCTCCAATTGTCTCCGAACAATTTTTTTATTCGAAAATCTATCGCAATTGAACAAGTGTTTTTGCATCCTCTAACAACTTCTCATATCTTTGGAGTGTTAATTTCAAACAAATCTGCTTGATTTCTTTTTTCAGCTGGGATTGTATGTTTTATGAAAAGCCTTGCCATTCACCCATGAGCATGTGCAAATTTTGTTCAGTTAGTCTTGCATGTCCACTAAAATTGGAGAAACAAGCCAAAAATTGAGTATTAATTTTGAATGATTTATAATTCAATAATGTTTAACCGACTTCTTACGGAATAAAAGAGCAACTCTTGTAATTCCTACAGATACAGAAAGAGTTTTTTTCTCTCATTTACTTTTTATTAGTTATATCTTGATACTATGAAAAGTGACTTTCAAAGAATTTTGAACTGTAAGTTCTTGAAGCATTAATTTTCATTTACTGTCCTGAAGATTTTTTATGTCCAATTTTTTGGAAATCAATGGAACACATCGCAATAAAGAAGGCTTTGTATCACCAACAGTAACATAATTTAGAAAATCACATTTCATCATCAATGAAGGAATTTTTATAATGCCTTAAGAAAAGAAAGGATAAAATAGTTCTTTTTTGCTCGTTATGACCACTGTCTGATTTTGCTCTAATACAAAACCAAACGAAGAGACTCAATTTGTCACTTTAAACAAAAAAACTAATTGATCTTCGAGCAAATCTTCTCATAATCTTGTCAACTGATTCCTAAGTTCCATAATATACAAGTAACTGTACACATAGACATTCTCGAATATCGTTGTTCATGGCTACAAAAAATCACGCTATTTAGTTTTAAACCCGGTTTATTATACATTGCTTCAATTTTCTTTGTTTAAACTTACTTTTTCATCTACAAATCTAAACTTATCCTTGGTTACTTTTTGTACTTTTTTAATATTCGGATAACCTTTAACAGAAGACTTGGAAACTAGCATTTAACAGATTCTTCGGGTGAGTTCGAATACTCATTTTCGAAATTTCACAATGTTTTTTTCCTTTCGGAGATTTTGTAGTTAT